TTGCTTAAAAGAAGAATCAACAAAGGCTGGTGACAGAGTTGTTGTTGAAACCTTTTGTCCTTTGAATTCGACATCTTTACTGAGTTACCATCCTATAAATTCTCATCTTTTCTGAGTCAGCATATCTATTATTAATTAAAATACAGTAGAAAACGACATAGGTCGTTATGCAATCGGTATGAATTTTTAATAAATTAATAATTCGAGTCAGGTCAAGTATCGCGTTGCATCTTTTTTTTTTTTTTTATACAAATAACTTAATTCTTTCTGGATATTAACTCTAACCTTTTTTTTATTTTTCACATAAATATCATAATTCTTGCTGGATACTATCTTAACCTTTCTTCTGGACTAATAATTTGAACCAGGTCTAGTATCACATTGCAACTTTTTTTCTCTTTTACACAAATAACTTAATTCTTTGCTGGATATTGACTCTAACCTTTTTTTTTATTTTTTATTTTTATATAAATATTTTAATTCTTACTGGGTACTATCTTAACCTTTCTTCTGGACTAATAATTCGAATCAGGTCAAGTATCGTATTGTATTTTTTTCTCTTTACACAAATAACTTAATTCTTCGCTAAATATTGACACTACATTCTGTTTTTTTTTAATTTTATATAAATATCTTAATTCTTGCTTGATACTATCTTAACTTCTTCTGGACTAGTAATTCAAGTCAGGTCAAGTATCGCATTGCATCTTTTTTTTTTCTTTTACACAAATAACTTAATTCTTCACTAGACATATTTTAATCTTTCGCTAAATACAATTCTAATCTTTCTATCATCAGTGAAATATATTGTTGTGAATTTTAGTGTTGGTGAATTTTAGTGTTGTAAAGTGAGCTTGTCTGTAAATTGAACTTGTTAGTAAGACGATCTTTGGTGAATTTTTGTGTTGATAAAAATTAACTTGTCAGTAAAGCAAGCATGTAGTGAATTAAATATTGGTGAATTAATCATCTGTAAAAAAAGCTTGTTGGTAAAATGGGTTTGGTAAAATGTGGTGTCATCAAAGTGAGTATCGGTGAATCAAAAAGATCCTGGCAGCTCCTATATATATTATGACATAATATTCTAGCGATATTGTTTCTCTAAAGAAGATCTGAAGTAAAAACTCCTAATCCTCCAGTTATCTAATAATTGGTCCTATTTAAATTTAATGCAAACCTAAAAAAAAATAAAATAAAAAAAAAAATAAAATAAATAAAAAAAAATAAAATAAATAAAAAAAAATAGAATAAATAAAATAAAACATAATAAAATAAATAAAAAAAAATAAAATAAATAAAAAAAATAGAATAAATAAAATAAAACATAATAAAAAATAAAAAAAAACAAATTTACAAACCCTTTTTCAAGTTTCGTAATTTCTTCAAAAAATGGTTTGATAAAGTCTCGGATATTCCTTCCAAAAGGTACAAATCTGATAACAAAGTGATTGCATAGTTGCTTTCTTATTTGATGTGGCATATTGCCAATTTGTAAATAAATGCTATCTAGGAAGTGGTATACAGTTCTGAAGGTACCGAACTTATTATAGTACAAATCTAAGAAGAAATTTAAAACCGGCATCGTTGAATTAAGCAGTGGATTTGTTGATATATATTCAGCCAGATGTTGATTTTGAAATTTAACAGGACGACACTTCCAAGATCTATTAAAGTAGTATAAAATTTCATTAACAGATAGATCAAAAAACGGTAGAGGCAGTTGATCTTTAAGCCAGACTGCAAGTTTTTGTATTAAAAAAGATGGTTCTATAATATGATCATTCATTTCTTCTACTAGAAACCATTCATTTTGAGATTGTAATGCACGTTCTAAAGATCGTAAATTTTGAGGAATTTTATTATAAGGAAATAATCATTGTATCCGAACTTTTATTAAATTATCTTTTATAACAAATGACCAAATATGACCATTTTGTAAAGTTTCATGAAAAAGATATTAAACGAAATTACTACATTTAAAAGATTCTAAATAAATCAAATATATCATTATGTATTGATAAATTATTATATTTAATGATATAAATATTTAATTTAGTTGCTTATCTCATGAAGTTGTTATATCGGATTGACCAAAAAGAGGTGATTCTGCCCAAAGATTTCCTTCCTACAATTCTTTGCATAATTCAGAAAGAATCTCTGGTCTGAAGTATAAGCGAGAGCTAATACTAGGATTTTTTAATATGCGATGAAAATACTCTATTAAAGAAAAGTAATAAACATTCGTAAAGCATTTGGTTGTAGATGCCGTATTTCAAGTATTAATTAGAACTTTGTGGCTTTTAATTTGCATTAAAGGGAGCCTTTCTCGATAATTTTTAAGTATTTGTAAGTTAGTAATCAGATGATTCCTATCAAACTGTAGGTGAAGTAAAATTTGAATCAAGTCGTGATAAGCAGTTTTTTCTTAAAAAAAAATAATAATAATAATTAAAATTAAGTATATATGTTGTGCCTCAAATAGATCCTTGCGTCAGATTGCAGCTGACACATATCAGATAACTACCAGATGACCAGCATTAAATGATCTGCAACAATTGGCCTAAATTACCCTGCGATTTTTACCCTAACCTAATTTTAACTCAGGCTGGGCGTCATCTGATGCAAGGATGCATCTGAGGCACAATACATACATTTAAAATCTGCTGAATTTCATACAAATACTTACCTATCATATATTTTACAGCCCATATAAACATCACCAGTATAGTAAAGTTTTCAAATGTGCCAAATTGATCTTCTGAATTCTATGTTATATTAAAATTTGTCTTATCAAATATTTTCATGAATGTTTCTTCGCTGTCAGAGGTATTATTATCTGAATTGGTATCGCAAAACTAGTTATCGTATTCTATATCATCATAGCTCAAATTATCTGAGCTATCGTTATTAGGTTCATTATAGCAAGATTCTAAATTATCTTCTATATTAAGATTATATCCAAATTCTTGGTTCTCATATTGCCAAATTTGGAATTCACTTAAATTTTCTTGCAGTGGCTCATCATTTTTATATGATGTTGAAATATTTTCATAGCTGAAAACTAGATTTGTTGTAGTGGTAGTTTTAGATACTCTTAAGTGAAATTGTGAAGCTTCAAATCGTAAAAGCCAGTGTCTTGACATAGTTTAAGTTAGAAAATTTTTTATGCAAAACTTAATATTTATACTAACTTAATACATGATTCACATGATACAACATCATAATTCTGATCGATCAATATTGCAACAAATTATTAAATTATTACATATGCACTAAAGTACTGATTATTACACAGTTATATACTTATATTTGAATATAAAAATATTTTTTTCTTTTTTGTAGAAAGAAATCATCAAATATAGCGAAAACTAAAGGTAGAAAACCCACAAGTACTAAAAGAGCGAAAAAAACAGAAATTATGGGTAAATGCTTATAAAGACTAATGAAATATTAATATTAATATTAATTCACATAATTATTCAATAAAAACCAAGGCCAGGCCTCACTCTAAAAAAAAAACATTAATATTAATTAATATTATTATTCC